TTTTCATTTTAAGCAAGTTTTAAGTTTCATGTTGTAAAAATAAGTCTACACATATTAAAACAAAAAGGCAGTATATAAGCCCCGCCCACCCGCCCTATCTCCATTCTGATGGTTTTTTTAATTCGCCAGGAACCGAGACGAATAAAAAGAGCTAACTGCAAAATATTTATATTTTACAAGGAATTGAAAACATGTTTTTCAGGATCGTGTTGTTCCAAAAAATACTACGTATATCTAGAAAAAAGGCAAAATATAAACCCCGCCCACCCACCCCATCTCAATTGTGATGATTTTTTTATTCTTAGAAGCTTAATGCATGTTTAAAATCAACTTTTCATTCGGACTAGACAAAATTAATCACTGAAATGGAGGCGGGGTGGGTGGGCGGGGTCAATTATATGTTCTTTTGTAAAGCGAGAATAGGAGCTAATAGATCGTAATTTTTTTGTTATACTATTTATTTGCTACAATACTTATTTCTTATTTCTGAAGAATAAAATGAGAGAATGGGTAGGTGGGCGGGATCTTTATTAGACAGATAATCTCCGAAAGTACAGGACCGATTGTTGTCAAATTTTGTATTTATATTAGGAATATCATATAGATGGTAAAACGCTCACCAAAATTTGTCTAGTCATCCCCATCAATAATGTGATGACATCATTTCAAAATTCTACGTAGTAAATGGGTTTTAAACTGTATAAAATAACATAGTCCTACACATGTAGTTTATGACTCCGTGTTGAGTTTTTACCGGAAACGTCCAGATTTTTGGAAAAAAAATCAAAATTATAACACATTTTGCAATTTAATTTTGAATCTGCAAAACCGAATGCTTTGAAATCTTGCAGATGTTTTAAGATTATGACAAGCATGACAATTTTTAATCAAAATATATTTACTTATTTCCTCAAAGACATTGATACAGGGTGACTCAAAAAAGTTAATGGTCTTAAAGTTAATATTGTTTAGATTTGCTTATACAAGGTGTCTCAAAAAAATTGATGACCGAGTCAATTTATTTTATTGTTTAAATCTACAATTGCAAAACTCAATGCTTTGAAATCTGTTTATTCGTCCAAGAAATTGATAACGTTATCTCAAAATTTTGCCAAACAAATTCCCCCCAAAATGTGCAAAATATGATGAGTTTTTTTTGTTTTCGTATTTTTTATTGCTCAAATTAAGAACGAGTCACTCCATTTTCCCGAAAATGTGAAAATAGGACTTTCTTTATTTAATAAGAATTATAATAATGATATTTAGAACATTTTGTCGATTGTAGCTTACTACTAATAATTTTTATCCTCTGTTTTGAGAAGACAAAATCATTGAAAGCAAACTATATTATTTCTACGTGACATTCTTCCGATGTATAAACATAAACACTTTCAAGGGGTTTTTCTTATCGAGGATAAGCTAAGGACGTACAGTAATGGCAATTTGGTACTTTCATATTTTCTCGACATTTCATAACCCTTAGGCCGTAGTTAGGGGGAGGCTAGGGGATGCTGAGCCTTCGCTAGCTCTAGACAAGTGATAATTAACCAAATGTGAGTCACAACATCGAAAATCAAAATAAAATGTAGTGTTCTATTCAATAAACGGAAGTCAGAGCAATAAAAAAGTCTGGACCGTCGGCATTGTGATTTTGTGATCCGGTTTAGTTTCTGTTTCACTCTCACCTATATGCGTCCTTGCAAAATGTAGATGACTTTAACACACAATTTCGTAATAGAACAACTGTCAAAATGTCAAAAATATTCGTTTTACGATAGTTTTAGCAGACTGAGTAGTCACTTTTTGCCACAGTGCATCTCCAGACATTTGAAGTGGCTGAATTATAAAACGTTGTGTGAAAGCGGATTAAACCGGAGGAATATCTGCCGCACGTTAAAGTGGTTATAGTGCAAGCGAGCCGATTCCGCCATTTTTAGTATTGTACTAAGTACGCTAATTGGTCTAAGAACTGGGAGCACAACATTTTGTAACTAGTTTTTCCCTGGCACACTTGCATTGTTTACAAACCTGACCTAGTTCAAAACGAGAATTAATAATGCGCTTGTGTTGATGCAGACTTCAAGAAAAACACTTTGCAGCATTTCACCTGAAAAACTATCATACAGACAAACAAATAAGCGAGTTTTACGCGAAATTACACTAAAATTATGAAAAGAGAAGATCTAGCGCGATGATTATTTTTAGACGTGTTATTATCCCCACGACATCAAAACAGAGTAAGCGTTTAAATGCACACACGCTACAATGTGACAATCGTGACTCTTGTAGGATCTTTTGTGTTTGAATGAAAGCAATAAAGGCGTCATTACTAAAACAGGAACGCTTAATTATTAAAAAAAACGTAAATGTACTCAGCGGAAAATGAAAAAATTGTGGAGCGGTGTTCTGATTTATTTTAATAGGTGGAGATCGAGTACTCGATGTCTGTATTAACTTCGTACATGTTAAAGCAACCTAAAATAAATTTTTATTACAATTTCGTACTAAAGTACTCTGAATAAATATTATTGTTTCGAAAAGTTTTTTAGTATAATGGGCGAAATGACCATTAAATGTATTCATATGTGGCGATACCAAAAGCTCGCAGCATTTAGGTTGTTATCTTTACAACAAAAAACATTCATTCTCGCTAATGGACAACGGTGTAGCAATAATAAATGATAACGAGTAGTAACCTTCACAATCTCTGAAAATAGTTATTCAAATTCTTATTCACCCGAGACACAGTGTGCAATTACTAAAATCGTGCGAGTCGGACTAGGTTCGTGTTTAGCGCGAAATCCTATTTGTAAATTTTACAATAAAGCAACACAATTACGTTATAATGATCCACGTATGAGGTTACGCAATTTGTTCAACCACATTTCATTCTAATTACGCTCGCTAGGAGCAAAAAACTACGACAAAGCTTTAAATTCAATTATTTCATTCCGCACCGTCGCTCTATCAAAGCTGACATTGTTTTAAAGTTAGGATCGTGCTTTTAATAACTGCGAGGCGATAAACTCGCAACGTGTTCTTGAGCAAGGAAACAACAGGTAGAATGCATCTCATGGCCAAATCTCTCCTGACAGTATAATCACTTTTATACCAGTCGCACAATAAATGTTTTTCCTCGATAGGCGAGAACATCGTAAGAAAATACAACGTGTCACCGTGTCCGCATGTTACGGAACAAATTTAATCAAAAAATCAGAAATCAAATTCGACAAAACACACAAACAGGTAAATCGATTTTCGCACGATGCGAATTCTAATCCAGTGGGTCGAAGCGGTGACGTCAGCCACATATTCTTTCGACTGAAGCAATTAAAAACAGACTAAGTTACTACAGAGATAACATTAATCGAGCCGATAAGTAATTAATAAAGCGCGGTGATTAGTAATTTAATTCAATTAAGTGTGTTGTATATAAATGTATATTCCGCATAGTGCGATAAATCTGTCGTTATAGGTGGAAATATGCGAATTTCAACGTTTCGCGGATTCCAACACCTGCGGTTATTCAGCGTTAGAATACACATTACTAGGAGCAATATTAGTGTGTTTTAATTATGATTAAAACGGGTTAGCAAAATATAGAAATAATGGTTGTTTGTCTAGCCCGATCTTTGATATTTAAAGCGTAAAGTAGATTAAAATGAACCTTAGTAAAACAAGTTTGTAGCCCGCGCGGCAGATTTAGAATGTAAATATCAACAATCTCTAATGAGGTATAAAAACGTAAAAGTTGGAGGAAGTTATTTTAAAGGTAAAACTTTTACATTAGAAAGTAATTTTTCTTTTCTGCGGGCGAGGTGAAATAGACTTTTCAACATAATACTTTTTATACTACATTTGTTTCTGTAAATGTATTTATCGTGCGAATAAGAAAAAGCCATAACCGAATTTCAGTCATGGAGAAATGGATGAGGCCGAACGTCATAGAATCGAAAAGAAAATAAATCGCATTTTACACATATGCGAAGTAGATTACCAGTACGCGTGCAAAAGCGCCGAAACAAATTTGAATATATTTTCCATCAATTATCAACAGGCGGCAGAGGTAGAAGATAAAATGACGAGAAAACGTCTTAAATTGAAGCGAGTCGGCTCTCGTTATTATAAAGGAGCAAATTTCATACAAAGAGAATTATTTTTAACATTAAAATCGTTTAAAAAAAAACACAATTGGAATTCTTTTTGTAAAGCGACAAACACTCCGCTAACAAGCAATGTTGATACAAAGGAGTAAAAAGTATTTTCTGACGAAATTACCGGACCAAGTGCGCAGAAAAACGGGTCCCATAATGTATTAGGTCCACTAACTCTAATTAAATTCTGCAAATGGTCCCGAAGAATGTGTTTGTGAAAGCTAAACAATTTTTTGTCGTACCTAATACAGTATTATGAATTGGTCCGTCTTTTTGTTGATTCGTACTGTCAGGACAATGATTAAAGACGTTTCTAAGCTAAAGCCGAAAAAGGATTACGGCTTTGCTTATTTTGTGTACCTAACCGTGATCGTATTACAAATGTGAAAGTCTGTAAGCTCTATGTTCTTGAATTTCAAATAAATTTGTGCAGTGCTAAGCAGGTGGAAACAACCATATAGGTAGATTCCCTATACTTTATGCGAGGATTTAGCCTTATTTTACAGGCTGTAAGAGAATAGTATGCGTGTGTATGTGTTCTGTATGTTATTATTACGATTCAACATATATTGTGCCGCTCTCTTCGAAAATGTGTTCGCGCAAATAGTTTCGTTTTTATTATGTCATATAAATTCTTTCTTTGGATTTCTGCTAAGGAAACGGCATACAAATGTAATCAAAAAGTAAATCCTGACGGATGCAGTCAGATTTCAAATAAATTTCGCTATTTGATTCAATCAAAAATTGTTTGCCAATAAAATCGAACATTTTATAAACACTGAGATTAAAACCGCCGTCCTAAAAATCTCCTCGTACCACGAGATTAATTTAATTTTCTTGTTTCAGGATGCATAAGGGTGGGGGGATGGTTGCTGAATAATTCACAAGATTGATCATGAAAATGGTGAATTTTCCTATAAAGTCGACCGTAATGCTTTTCCTTTGTGGGGTGTTTGTCACTTCGAAGGCATCAGGTGAGTTATAAATATATCGAAACTTTCTACACCTTTCGACTGATGGCGAGGATATACTTATACCATTGCCCTCGACCGTTACCAACTTATTTTATTCCCAAAATTTTAACAACACCACAAAAACACTAACACAATTTAATTAAATAAACAAAAGTTTGTTAAGCTTTAACTAATGTTTAGCTACAAAAATTGTAAACAGCAGCTTTCAAATTAACCTACTGTTTCAATTATTAAGAAAGCTATAGAAAGTTAGTGATTATAAAATCTCGTACATCAAGTTGTCCACGATATGAATTCTTGGTTGTCTACGTATCAAAAAGTTGTTGCAACTTGATGCACAATCTTTTGTACCCACATTCTATTAATTTTTTTAACTTGGAAATATGTATTATCCCCACCGGTTTTTCCAAATAAGTTCAAAAAGTATATCAAAATGCATTAAAATTTATGTTGGTCAGTTTAAAAATTACTACATGTGATGATTTAGGCCAACGACATGAAGAAAGGACTCTAGCTATAAAGGTAGGATTATATTACGGTAATAAAGGTATTTAAGTACTATAAAATAACACAGTAAGTACATATGCCATAGGCCATAGCATGATATACATAGCCCAAATTTGTCCGTTCATCCCGACCAAAAATTTGATAACGTCAATCCTATTTTTAACCTTCTGCACATAGATTTTTAGAAAAAAATTTAAAATTATGGAAGCAAATTTCATAATTTAGGTTTGAAACTATGAAATCAATTGTGCTTTTAAGGTTATCATGAACATCAGTTATTATTTGTATTTTGAAAATTTGATGACACATTCTAAAAATTTATTTGTGCTAGTTTAACTTGAAATTTATAGTGATTTAATAAAGTACAGTACAGTCGAAAATTTAATTATAGGGGTCATGACACGTCGAGAAAATATGAAAGTAGCCAGTCGCCAGTAGTAAGACCGACAGTGGTGACGGTTACTGCGAATTAGACTTTCACATTCACCATGTTTATTAGCCGCTAGTATTAATTATAATTATTATTACTCATGCTCATGATAAATGAGATTCCTTTACGTCACAAAAATTTTGAAAAGTTTACTATCCAACATATACATAAAGACTAATTTCGTATTCACTAGGCAAATTTTTCTTTTTTTAAGAGGACTAAATCGGGCGGCTGGAATATGGCGGATTCACTCTCCGCCACGCTCTTAACTGGTGGGTCTGGGAAAAATAGTACCTTATATTTAAAATGTTCGCAGTTAATTGTAGGTCCCGTGGTGTTTTATTTTCGGATAAATTTAAAGGAATCTGGTGTTTTGTAGCTGGATGAACTTGAAAAAAATTTTTCACATCTTTGTGTTCTATTTTTTATGAATTTGAAAAAGTCTTGAGTGCCGCAGAGTTTTTTTTTAATTCGGGATACCCATGGTGTATTATTTTAAGAACCCACGGATTTTTTTTGTAAACTACTTAAATTTTGGGAGACTTTGGTGTTCTATTTTCGGAAAATTTTGACCTAACCTGTTTTTGAGTTAATTAATTACACCGTTTTTTTTTTTTGAGAAATTTAAAACAAACTTTAGGTTCTACGTGTTCCTGCTTGGAAAGAATTCGAAAGTGTTTTGGAGCCTCTAGTGTCTTTTCTGATAATAATTCAATTAAATTTCTTAGACAATACGTCATTTGCCAAAATCAGCCTAATCTTAACAGGATCTCGACCCGCCCACCCCCCCCTCTCTTTTCTTAGAGGGTATCTCATTTGCCAAAATCACTCTTATCTTCCCAGGTACTAGCCCCGCCCACCCACCCTCCATTTGCTTAGAGAAATTTGATCGGCCAAAATCAGTCTTATCTTAGCAGGTACTGGCCCCGCCCACCCACCCTCTCGTTTCTTAGAAGATATTTCATCTGCCAAAATCAGTCTTATCTTAGCAGGTACTGACCCCGACCCACCCACCCTCTCGTTTCTTAAAGGATATTTCATTTGCCAAAATCAGCCGTATATTAGCAGGTAGTAGCCCCGCCCACCCGCCTTTTCCTTTCTTAGAGAATACGTCATTTGCCAAAATCAGCCTTATCTTAGCAGGTACTAGCCCAAACAGCCCGCCCTCTCTTTTCCTAGAGGATATCTCATTTGCCAAAATCACTCTTATCTTCGCAGGTGCTAACCCCACCCACCCGCTCTCTCTTTGCATAGAGAAATTTCATTTGCCAAAATCAGTCTTATCTAGCAGGTACTGGCCCCGCCCACCCACCCACTCGTTTCTTAGAAAATATATCATTTGCCAAAATCACTCTTAACATAGCAGGTACTAGCCCCGCCCACCCACCTTTTTTTTCCTAGAGTGTATGTCGTTTGCCAAAATCGGTCGTATTTTAGGAAGTACTAGCCCCGCCCACCCGCCCTCTATTTTTTCACAGAGGATATCGTTTTGCGAAAATTAGTCTTATCTTAGCAAGTACTAGCCCCATCTACTCGCCCTTTATATGCCCTGTAAATAGAGGGTGGGTGGGGTAACACTTATGATAATAAGACTGATTTTGGCAAATAATATAACTTTTAAGAAAATAAAGGGTGGGTGGGTGGTACTTGTATTTTCTAAGATAAGACATATTTTGGCAAATGATATCAGTCATATCTTAAGTAGTAGTAGTAGTAGCCCCGCCCACCCGCCTTGTCGTTTCTTAGAGGATATATCATTTGCCAAAATCAGTCACATTTAGGAAGTACTAGCCCCGCCCACTCGCCCTCTATTTTCTTACAGAGGATATCATTTTGCCAAAATCAGTCTTATCTTAGCAAGTACTAGTCCCATCCACTCGCCCTATATATGCCCTGTAAGAAAATAGAAGGTGGGTGGGCTAACACGTATGAAAATAAGACTGATTTTGGCAAATAATATATCCTTTAAGAAAATAGAGGGTGGGTGGGTGGTACTTGCATTTGCTAAGATAAGACTTATTTTGGCAAATGATATCAGTCATATCTTAAGTAGTAGTAGTAGCCCCGCCCACCCGCTTTCTCTTTTCTTAGAGGATACCTCATTTGCCAAAATCAGTCTTACCTTGGCAGCTACTAGCCCCGCCCACCCACCCTCCCTTTTCTTAGAGGGTGTGTCATTGCCAAAATCAGTTTTTATCTTAGCTAATACTAACTTTTTCAAAAAATGATCAAAATTTGGAAAAATTACGAACTTACTTAATGCACAAGGAATTTTGAACATCTTCTCTAGTGTTTAGTTGATTGTGTTAATGGATTCTTCTTTTGTTTATAATTTATAAATGTCTTATTAAATGTTTTTTTTTGGTTTATTTATTAATGAAAAATAACAGTTTTTTTGTTAATTTTTTTGGGACTCCCGAAACCCCCGTACATAACGTACTGAACAGTTAATCTGCTATTTTTCAGACACCCAGTATATTCCATATAAATAATTAATTAATGTTGAATCATGAAATAAAGCTATGTATTGACTGTTAAACTACACGTAAAGAAGTATACGTATGTTTCTAGTGAGTTTTCCATAAGAAAATTTTGTTATGACGTCATCACCATTTTAGTATAGATACTTATATCAATTTGAACAGGTGCTATGTAATACTAATAATGACAATATTGTCTTCTCACATTTTTTGGAAAAATAGAACGATTAATAAAAAAATTGCGGCCCGGCATTGATCCCCGGACCTTTCATCTACTGGACCATTTCTATGCTTATGGAGGTTTGCATTATATGTCGAAAGAAGGAGACTGTTTAAACAATAAAAAATGTAAAATGAAGGTAGAATCATAAACCACAAGCAGAGTAGTATGTTATTTTGTAACATTTAAATGGCCTTTACTAAAAAACATTTGCGAGGATGTCATCAAATTGTTGATCGGGTGGTTAGCGTTTTACTATTTATACGATGCTCCTAAAATAAATGTAAAATTTGATGACAATCGATACAGTAGTTTCGAAAATTATGTCTAATAAAAATCGACACAGCCACACGACAGACACAGGAAATCCAAGTACAACTTTTTAGTACACTAGGGGTCGTGAAACGTAGAGAAAACAAGAAAGTAGCTATTATACTACTACTAAATTTTATATTATCGTTACGAGTATCGTGTAAAATACTAACCATAATTTAATGACGTCTCCTCACTTTTTTTTTGTAAACGCCATTGAAAATTTATAAAATAGGTATCAAGAATTTCGAAAAAAACTAAACTTTTTTTACACTTTATTTGTTTGAGTGTTCACCCGATTTCCCCGCACTCCGCGCCGGACCAAATATAAACAGCAAGTTAATAATCATGTTCCGGTTTTACTGTGGGGTTACATGATGGCAAAGCTTTCAAGATAAACAATATTGTTTTAGAATGCATAAACGAGAAACCATATTCATAATAATAAAAAAGAAATCAGTGGCATAAAGACAAGATAATAAATTCAAATAATAAAACCGAGAAACCCTTCAATAAGTATATTTGACCGACTGAAAGGACCACTAAAGTTGTCGCAGGCTTTATGACTAAAAAAAAGGTATAAAATCAATATTCAGATCTCGATTGTCCTATAAATCAGGAAACACGTCAAAAGCATATTTAATTTAAGACGCTGTGGCTAGAAATATAATGAGTGCATACTCCAAATCTGAGATGTTTTCGAACTCATATTTAAATGATGCGATTAACCTCGAAATTATAAAAAAGCTTCCGTTATGCACTTTAGTAACTTCTGGTGGAGCTTAAATCAATTTTGATGAATGTAATGCAGCGCTAATCCAAACGTTGCTGAGTTTACGCTCAAGTGGGTAAGTGAGTTCAGTCATAAAATGGTAGTTTTTCAAGTAATCGTAGACAACCTGTTCTAATTTATGGCTATAAACTGAAAGCTCTCAAATAGAAATTGAGAAATCGAAGTATTTCTTTACGACAAGTATCTTTGTAGATGTATCAAATAAGCAATAAACCGAAGAGAAAATCGTATTAGATGTTTGGCTTCACCCGTGCCATT